ATTTGGTTTGTCTTTGTATTTTTGGTTTTTGTAGCTGTTTTTTTTTTTTTTTTTTTTTTCCTGTTCTTTTCTGATTTTCTTTCTCTTCTTTAATTTGGGAGGGGGTGGGGGAAAGGGGTGGGGTTGAGTATTGAAGACTTGAGAGTTTTTATTTTAGGCAGCTGGCAGTCAGAATTGGCTATCAATATATTTAATATCTCTCATCCTTTTGCTTCCAGAATATCTTTTCTATTATTTTCATCTCACCATCACATGCGGTTGTGTTTTAGCGTCGGATTTCTATTTGCGTTTTAACGTCAGATCTCCATTATCATTCTTTTTGCAGTTTCTTTATATTTGGAATAAGTTGCAGATAGTCTTTGGATTCTCTGTGTAATTTTCACATCTTCTTTTGTGAGAGCTTTTCACCTCTTTCTTGTGAGAGCTTTTCATCTATCATTTGTGAGAGTTTTATTTGTATTGTTATAGCTTGGTTCTTTTTAAGCTCTCTTTTTGATTATTCTAAGTTTGCAATCTTAGTTTGGATGTCTATGTCAAAGTTTCTTCGATCCTACGTGATCGTTAGTGGAAGCTCACCAGATTGTCTTAATTTTGATATTAGACCGGCATTATTGTAATGACATTTTTGTGACTAGTTTGTATTGGCCATTTGTGATTAGTGTTTGGCTGAATTATGAATGCAATAAAATAAAATAAAATAACATCTTTTTATTTTTATTTTTTTTATAGACCTTTCCTATTGAGGGGACGATGATAGCATACTAAACTTACACGCATGACATGAATGCTAGGATTCGAACCTAGGACTTTGCTTGAGGGAGTAAATACTCCAAACCACTACACTAATGAGTCCTTTGCAGAACATCTTTTCTATGAAGCAGTAAACTCTATCTATTTACATGGAAATAAATTAGGCACCAAATTAGTTAAAGTTGGATGTACTTCTAACACTGCATTTGAATCCCCCTTCCCCTAGTTTACTAAATGATTGCTACATTAACTATTTGGTTGAATTGATGGAGTAGTTGCATTAGGTACCAAATGTCACATGTACAACTTACTATGTAATAATAATGGTATCACATTTTGTCTCTTGCATGTGACCAAATTACTTTACCTTACAAAAATCAATAAAATAAAAATCTGCACACAATAATTTTGCCGAAAGCTGTTGGAAGGCGTCATAGTACCATTCAAATGCCTAGAACATGATAACATTCTAGCCGACAATTTTATTTTATTTCTTTAGTTACTAATAAAATCCCCTCCCAAAAAAAGTACTAGTCTTACATATATAATAAGTTCCCTAGCACGAAGGACTCACTATAGTGGTAGTAGTTTCGAGTAATTATTTTTCTAGAAAATATTTCGGATTTGAGTTTTAGTATTTGTATAATGTGTGTGAGTTTAATATATTATCGTTTCTCCTAATAAAAAATGTTCCAAAAAAATAAATAAAATAAAAAATAAAAAATTCCCCCATAGCCAGGGCATGTACAATGTATCATTCACTAAAGAATAAGTATATCGAATATCTTTTATTCCCTACAAATAATTAAAAAATTATTTTCTTGTTAAACTATTGCTACCACCTATTATCCATGAATTCAATGGAGTTTGGAAAAGTATACACCAAGTCCATTATTTGTACAACTTATATTGAAGTTCCTTTTTATTATTAATTTTGTTGTTTGCTCCCCATCAACTAATTAAAGTTGACAAAATAGTTTTATTGATATAGCTCATCTGAACAATTATTGCAGGCTTGGCATATCTCTCATAAGGGTTTGGAACATTTTGAAAACTAACAAAGTTTTAAGCATTTTGAAGATTTTTCAGTCCCTTTTTTTATATATTCTTAAAAAAATTACTTGAGAGTTTAGACACTATTTAAGAGGGTTCGATCATTACTCGAATAATTATAAATATATATTTTTTGAATACAAGTAATCGAGTGCTTATATTTTCAAACGTAAAAGAAAATTAGCTAAAAGTTTTTGATGAGTGTAAAATATGGATAGTTAATATTGAAATATTAGCAAATGATCAACTAGTGTAGTAGTTGGAACAAATGCTTCCTTTATGAAAGGTTCTAGATTCGAGTCATAGCATTTGTATAGTGTATGTGAGTTTAATATGTTATCAACCCTCTCAATAAGAAAAGTCCAAAAGAAAAAGTTTTGTTTTCATCATCAAATTTTTGTTTTCTTGACGTACATGCGTGGGTGTGACGATTATTGTAAATTGAAGAAAAAGTTATGTGTTTATCACATGCCTCACCTCACCGTCTTAAAGATCGTGGTTTGTCCTAAATTAGCATATTCGTCATGGGTGGATATTCCCAAATTTATGCAATTTCAAAGACAACAAAGCCCTCGCCATTTGTAAGTGTTATAGGCCATGAGCTTCCTTATCATATTGTTTTAGTTGGATTCATAAGATGATATACTACTTTACAAGTATTGTGTACGCGTCAAATTTATTATGTTATGTTATTAAACGGTCAATTTTATTTATAAATTTTAGATATCAACCTTTAGACTCATAGTTTTATATTATTTTTGTAATTTTTTGTTGTTGTACCAACTAATCAAGTTCTAATCAATTTTTTTTGGTGACATTAAAAAATTGTTAACATATGATTTTCATTATTTTGTAGAAAATAATACAATACCAATCCACCTGGAATATATGGGACAACAAACATTTAACACACCAAGGCCGGGGCAGTTTTTCTTTCCCTTTTTTTCCCCTCACTCTTTAGGCAGAAACAACAATATCAAATCCACACCTTCAACTGATAACAGAGCTGGAAAAACATAAATACAAACAAAAGTCTGGATTTAGTTGTAGGCATCGGGGTTGGCCAAGAGGTACGCTTCAACAAGCTTGAAGAGACCGGCTGCCTTCTCTTTGCCAGCCTTGACTTGCTCTTCCTTGATCTCAACATCTCCCTTGGTATGGTAGTGGCTGATGGTCTTGACGATGGATCCTCCGTTGGGGGATGCCACCAACTTGATATCATAAGCGATCTTCTCGATTACGTCAGACAAGGCATCTCCTTCAATCAAAGTGTAACTGTATGAAAGGTTGTCTTTGTCAATCCCATCGACCTTGTGCTTCACATACCCATATTGGCTTCCTGCAAATTATAACATAAATAAACAAATTAGTCAACCATGCTTGTCACATTACAAGAATTTTTTACAATCTTAAGAAAAAAACATGAGCATACAGAACTATCTAATTACTTGACTTGTAAATCAAGTAGTTAAGAACAGTTATCTTATATCTGAGTGTCTTCGAATCCCCCATTTTTCAATATCCCTCTTGTATTAAAAAAATAAAATAAAATAAAAAGAACTAGCTAATTACCTTCACCGAAGGTGACCTTCTTGATGGTTCCAACTCCTCCATCTCCTTCAAGGATCTCCGTACCTTTCACTGCTGTTGGAGCAACCTTGGGGATGAGGTTGTCGGCATCGAGGATGAAAGCCTTGAACAACTTCTCTGGTGGGATGACAGAGGTGAACTCTGTTTCGTATGTGAAGACACCCATGATATGAGTCCTTGAGTTGGAAAATGATCAAAGGAAGAGTTTAAAGGACAAAGAGAGTTGTTTGAAGAGTAAAGAGTTGTTGGGATGAAGAGAAGGGAAAGTTTTAGGCTGTATTTATAGAGATCACAGGGGTTGAGATTAAGGCCACAGATGTGTGAAGCGTCCCTGTAGATCATCAACCAGTTTATGCAAGTTGGTGCTACAATAATTGTATCGGATAATAATCTCCAGAAAGAAAAAAAAAATAAAATTGGACGGTCTGATAGACTCTGGAGGTACACAAAAAATAAAGAGTAAATGAGGGGAGCCGAGTTTGTAGATGGTCTTCCAACTTTGAATTTTCAATGTCTCAGTTTACTCGAACTGTCGGTCATCAAAGTTAAGGTCAAGTTACGTTGTTTTCAGTCGGGGAAATAATTCCGGAATACATAGTAAAAACTCAGCCTTAAATGGAGGTTTTTGCAATACACAAACTGTAAAGTTACATTGTTTTTATGAGAACGAGAGATTTTTTAAGAGAACTACATGACATGAAAATAGAGAAAAACAGACAACTCTGGAGAACTTCATGAACTGTTCATACATAGCCTGTGCCATTCTCACCTTTTATTATAAAAAAAAAAAAAATATAAAAAACAATTAAATTTTGGTAATTATAGGATATCTATGTTTATTTATTTATTTACTTGTATGTTTTTGGTTCTCCCCTTCTCTGACTTTGGGGTTTCAAGAGACTTGTTGGTTTGCTTTGATTAATCAGCAATGGCAACTGGTGGTCACCATTGGCTATTGATCCCCTTTGTTTCAAAATCATTGCTTATTGTCTTGATCAACTGCAGTGTTTTTCTTCGCAGATTGTAACGCGAAGAAATCTAACTCACACCCAACTCAACGAACATTTATTGAGGTTGGAAAAGTCTCGCTCACAAGACCTATGTTGGCAGGGGAAAAGGGAAACCAATAAGAGCA